TCATGGACTGAAGGTGTCGGATGGGGAATACGTGAAGTCAAAGTTTCTGAAGGCATCTGCACAGTTCACAAATTAACATCAGAACAAAATACTATTTGGCGGTGGTGATAAGTGACTATCCAGGGGAGGAAAGATTCCCCTTGTGCTGCAGGCCATTGTCCCCTCTGAAGCCAGAGGAACTGGCTGCACCCGCTCACCAGCTGCGGACCAGGCTCCCCTACTCACAGGAGCCTGCCACATTTGCTGACAGTGACCTGGGATCTCCCACAGACACCTGGCTCTCTGGCCAAATCCTGTCTCTCCCAGGTTCCTGGGGGGAGTCTGGGTGCAGCATCCTGTGGCCACCTTGGGGCTGGGCCAGGAACTGTGTCCCTCTCAGGAGCCTGCTGCACTAGGGACAGACTCCATGTGCCCTGCCACTGCAGCATCTCTCGGAAGCAGGGCAACACTCGGTTGCCAAGGCTTCCCGCAGCCCATGTTTCCATGGAGGGACAGAACTCAGAGAGGCTGTTGCCTTGGAAACCCTGTTGGCAGCAATGACTCAGCTGGTCTACCACAACCTTCTGCCCCCTGAACCCGCCGTCCTCCGGGGGGTTCTGAGCCCTGGACTGGGCAGCCTAGGGGGACAGCAAGCCGTCCCTGCACACTGCTCGCTGCAGACCGCAGCAGCCGCTGAGGGGAGAATGAAAGGCCGTGGCTGGGCTGGGCTGGGCTGTTGCACGCTGGCGAGTCCAGAGGTGTGTGATAGCCACACGTGACCTGGAGGAGGGGCGTGTGAGCCGCTCGAGTCAGCCAAGAGTCCGCAGTTCCCTCCTCCCCCTCTGCCATGGCACGTACAAAACACAGATGACTGCACGCAGTTGGTGCCTTCACAGGCCAGCCTGTCTCTACCAGGCAGATTTGTTTCCAGAACATTCTCCACCTCCTTATTTGCAGCCCAGCACATCACGAGGCCGGGTTGGGGAGGAGGGAGCGAGAACTCTCCTCTTTTCCCTCCTTACACCCCTCCCACCGCAGCTCCACCAACCAGAACCCAAGCTGACCTCTGGCGCCCTTTTGGCCCTTTGCACCCCCCTACCCGACTCCGCGGGAATGCTGACATCTCTGGCCACACGCTCCTGCTTAGCTCCAGTCTCTGCCCCGCTGCCCTCTGCCTCGGGCATCCTCCCAGAGTGGGCCTGGCCCGCTCACGCCTCCCCTCCCTCCCCCTGCCCCAGACTGTTCTGGACGCTGCTCCTGTGTTCCCGGAGTGACCTCTTGGCCCTGACCGGGCGCTCCCACTGTGCTGTGACACTGAGGTCAGAGGAGGGCCCAGTCTGCACGTTGTCTACACTGGGGCCCAGTCCGCACATTGTCTACACTGGGGCCCAGTCCGAGTGGAGCCTGCAAGGAAGCGCTTGTGAATGGGGACGTAGATCGTATCCCTGCGCCCTCGTCAACCCAAGCCTTGCTGGGTTTGCAGCCACATGGTTTCTCCCCTGGGGTTCCAGGGCTCCTCCTGCCATAGGACTTTCATGACATATCTCATGCTGCTGCCTACTGGTGCCCAGGATTGCCGCCCTGTTAGACGAGCTTGGGACTTGTGTCCTAAGATCCATGAGCCATCGGAGCGCAGGAACCACGTGCGATTTATTTTCCACGACTCCAACGGAGATTGACACAGCCAAAAACACAAGAGATGCTTGGCAAATATTGAACCAATAAACGAATTACTCTTAAACTTGAGAGTTGCGTTAACTCTGCAGCTGGAAAATGCTGCCACCAACCCACCTGGCAGCCCTCACCATACCTCGGTCAATGATAATAACAATACCTACTGTGCGCCGTCTGTGGGCCAGGCCCCGCTGCAAGGGCTTGCCTCATATTGTTTAAAACTCACCACAACCTGGGGCGGTAGGAGCTGTTGTTGTCTTCACTTTGACAGATGAGGAAACTAGGAGACCCAGGAAAAATGAGTAAACGGCATGGGGCCTGGCTGGGTCCAGACTCTTTGCTCTTAATCTCTGCACTGCTGCTATTCGCCTAGAACAACAGAAGTAATAGTAACGGCAGCAGAAGCCGTCCTAGTAGTAGTAACGTATTCACCTTATTATTTATTTTATTATGATTTTGTTTAATTTTACTTATATGTACCATGATAATGTATTTACCACTTATGGTACTATATCATTAAATGGTATATTTAATGTATATATAAAGGTATATATGCATGTGTATGTGCCGGGCACAGTTCTAAGCACTTGGATACATTAACTAATTTAATCCTCCAGCCACCTTATGATGTTGGGTACTATTAATTATCCCCACTTTACAGATGAGGAAATTGAGGTCCAGAGAGGTTAAGTGACTAGTGCAGGGTCACCGGGTATTAAGGGATGCAGCTGGGGTTCCAACCTGGCCATTGGGTTCCAGAGTCTGCACCTTTAAATATGCAGAAGATGTGGCCCTTTGCCAGTGAAGCAGGGCCAGCATCTGTGGCCGGGGGGTACACCCGCCCACAAAGGACATGAAGAGAAGGCATCAGTATCTGAGTGGGCTTGCTGGACTGGCCCAAAGTCAGGCCAAGGAGAGAGGAAGCCCCACTGGGGTCCTGTGTGTCCTCAAGAAAGTTGATTGGTCTCTGTTCATTCATTTTCCCTTTGGTGTAATGGGGCAAGATGATGGGCTCTGAGGGGAGCTGTGACAGGCTTTGGGGTGTTCATCAGCAAGGAGCTTAGCATCTCTGATTGGATGAGTCGGGGGACTAAGGTATCTTTCTCATCTCCCTATGGATTGGATGTCGCATTAGTGCCCTGCTCCCCAGGCTGGTCCCAACATTGTCGCCTGCATGGAGTCCTTTGTCCTTAAGGAAGGGCCTGTGTTGCCAGGCCCGAGGAGGGGGCACATCTTAGGGGCCGCTTCCTCCCTGTGGGACAGGCTGATTCTGCAGGCCTTCAGGGAGGGCAGGACCAGGAATCTCCTGAGCATCCTTGCTCTTCCTGCTGCTGGACTGGATGCTGGTCAGGATGCATAGATGTGCTGACCTTTGAACACCTTTCTGTCTTTTCTGGTCCAGGTGTGGAAAAGGGAAGCTAGAAGATGGGGATGGGATCAATCTGAATGACATCGAGAAGGTCCTCCCGGCCTGGCAGGTAGGCACACGTGCAGATGCTCCAACACCTGCCCCCCAGGTCACGATCCTGGGCCTGGGCAGGGCAAGCACCACTGCTGGACCCTGCTCCCTCAGGGTGTCACCAGAGGTACTGCACCGTTAGGTGGGCAGGGGTGGGAACCTGCCAGGGTCCAGGGCGTCCCACTGTGAAATGTGTGCAGCAGCCCACTGTTGACTATGCTGTGGGCACAGATGGTGGGCCTGACATACCCCAGAGATGAAATGGGCCATGCGGTGGCAACTGAGCGCACTGGAAGTTTTTGTCTCTTGACTGAAGTCTCTGCAGGGGATGCGTCCTGCAGTATGTCCCTGGCGGCCTGGGGGGCAAATGTGGTCAGGGCTATTTTCGGGCCTTTGAAAAGTAGAGTTGTCCCCCAGCCTCCAGGTGTCTGCTGTGCTTACTGATTTTGTCATTGATTTGGCTCCTTTCCCTGAATTGGGCCAGGCTCTGAGCCAGGAGGATTTGCTCAGCAGATAGCGAATCTGGGTTTCTAGATGCTTCTGGTGCTGGTCTTTGGACAGAAACAATAGGAATCCTGCTGCTTCCAGGGATGGGGTTGGGCCTGCTGCAGGGGGTTGGGGAGAGCACGGTGAGAGCAGCAGCCCCGAGCATGCCCTGCCGGTGACCTGCCACCACCTCACACACCACCTTCTCCTCTCTCTTCCAAGTCACTTGCTATTTCACCCACATCCATGCTTCTCTTCTGGCTCCCCTTACGGCTTTCCCACCTGGCTCAGTGTTCGTGCCTTGAGCCTGTTAATGAGACACAACAGAATTGGGGGAGGCAGCAGAGTTCAGGGGTTAAGTGCTTGGTGTATGGACCCCAGACATGGAGACCATGGAATCCTGGCCCTGGCACTGACTAGCCAAGGGGTGGGGCTAATTACTTACCTCACTCTGCCTCAGTTTCCTCCTGTATAAAATAGGACAATAACAGTATCCACTTCATGGGATTATTAAGAAGATTGAGTTCATGAATTCATGTGAAGCACTGAGAACAATGCTGGGCACATAGCAGGTGCTCCTACCCTATGATGGGGGACCAGGCTCTGGGGCCCCTCTTTGTTAGGAGCTGGGAGAGGGAGCAATTTCCTGTGCCCCATCCCCACCTTGTGTGCTTTTGCTAAGTGGCTTCTCAGGTGGTGCAGAAAGACTGGATGAGAGGTCGGGAGAATCCAGGTCTGGACGTCTGCCACGGATGCTCCCTGTGACCTGTCCTCCATAGATCCCAGTTTACTTATCAGAAAAAACTAAGACACAGTTGGACTAGATCAGAGGTCTGCAAACCCTGAAGCCCTTGGGGTTTCCCAGAGGTGCCCCAGGGGTGCTGCAGGGGGTGAAAAAGCAAGCTTGGGGGGTCCCCCGCTCAAGCACACTTAGAACTGCTCTGCCATGTCTCTAAATCAGTCTTAGGCAAATAGTTTCATTTGAAGAAATGGTTTCTCTACGAAACAGATTTTGAAAATCATCAGACCAGGGTCCCGCTCAGATTTCATATTTCTTCCAGGAACAGTCAATCAGCAAGTATTCTTGGTTCTGCAGGGCCCACGTGTGACATAAACTCTTAGAGGCTGCTGAATTGGAGGTCTTCACCCCCACCTCCATTTTCAGTCTGGAGCCACACAGTGGAAGAGCTTCGATATTCACACACACACATTACACTTTGAACCAGCCTTTGTCCTCAGAAGACAACACACAGAGAAGATCCTAAGCCCATGGTGCTGAACCCTGGCTGTACATCAGAAGTGCCTAGGACGCTTTTAAATCTACACCTTTCTGGGTCTCACCCTAGATCCACTGTATTCGTTATCTCTTGCTGTGTAACAAATTGCTCAAAATTTAGCAGCTTAGCAACAGACATTTATTATCACATACACTTTCTCAGGGCCAGGAATCTGGGAGCAGCTCAGTGGGGCATTCTGGTGCAGAATCTCTCCTAAGGTTGCAGTCAAGCTGATGGCCAGGGCTGCAGCCATCTGAAGGCTTGACTGGGGCTGGAGGAGCCACTTCCGTGATGGTTCCTTCACGTGGCAGAGAGCAGGAGACCTCAGTTCCACCCTGGCTGGTGGCAGAAGGCTTCAGTTCCTTGCCACTTGAGCCTCTCCATAAACTGCTTGAGTGTCCTTACAACGTGGCAGCTGGCTTCCTCCAAAGCCAGTGATCTGGGACAGAGATAACGAAGGAGTGAATGAGCATCCAATACGAAAGTCCCCATCTTTTATAACCTAATCTCAGAAATGACATACTCTCACTCTGCCACATGCTGTGTTGCTTGCTCAGACCAACCCTGGGACAGTATAGAAAGGACCACACAGAGGTGTGATTATTAGGAGGCAGGGGTCGCTGGGGGCCATCTTTGAGGCTGGTGACCACACCCACTGAATCATACCCAGGAATCTGTATTTTTTAAAGCATCACAAGAACTTCTGCAATTTTATCAAAATTATGAGCAAGAATTTAAAACCTAAAGTTATAGCTGATCATGCCTGTGGCTTGACCTCTCTCCTTGGGGTGTGTGCCTTTTGTCTGGGTACCCTTAGAACAGGGCAACAGGCTTCTTGATCCCGAAACATAGAGCTCTGGTGGCAGAATCTGAGGTCCTGTGAGAACACGTTGAGATGTTTTTTTCTGAGTTTTCCCTGCATTCTTCAAAGCCCCTCGTAGGTAGGGCTGGCTGCTTCCATTGTCCAGCCTTGGGTCCTGAGGGTCAGCTAGCATAGCTATTGACATTTGAGGTGGGACAAATCTTAATTGGATGGAACTGTGCAAAACAATATAGGCTATTTAGTGCTCCTGGCCTCAACCACTGAATGCTAGTCGCTGTCCAGAGGTGAGAGGGACAATCATGGTGACCACAAAAACACCTCCCATTTCCAGACACACCTAGGAGACACTGTGCACCCAACAAAGACCACCGAATGGGAGGGAAAGCCCACCCGTAGCATGGACCCCCCAGCCCTCCCACGGGAGTCTTAGGCCTGAGCAGAGATACTTGGGCTTCCTAGAGAATTTCTTCAACAGAAGTCCGAGTTTGAGGAGTAGAAAGAAACCTGTTGCCTCCCCTCCCTACCTGGAGGCAAGAAGGAAAGAAGACAGGAGGATGAAGGGGGAGGCTTGGCCTGAAGCTCGTTGCCTCCCTGCCCTCACTTCTTCCACCTGGAAGAAGGGGAGCATTCAAGCTGCTGCCGGCTCTGCCTCCCCAGCATCTCCCCACCCCACAGAGACCTGGGCCACCATCCCTGACCCGCTCCTTCCCTATTCAGACTCCTCAGCACACAGGGCCTTTGTGGTTTGCCCCAGCCCACATGTTGGGCCTGTGTCTCAGGCTCAGACCACCCAGACTGTGCCCCAGCTGGGCCCCCTCCCGCCAATCGGTCCTGCATCCCTCGGCCTAGAAACCCAGCTCCCCCTTTCTCTGCCCGATGGACTCCTTCCCTGCCTCAGGATGCCACCCTGTGATGCCCTCTCAGATGCACATGGTCCGATGGTGCATCTGCCGAGCTCCCCAGCCCCCTGCCCTCACCCCGATGTTACGGCTCCCGTCACATTGCACCAGCTTGTTCAGTCGTCGGACGTCCTTCCTCGACTGTGGGCTGCAGGTGGGCGGGGGTCTCACTCCTCTTCATAACCCCAGGACCAGGGGCTCTTGAATGGATTACTGCTGAAGAACATCCCTTCAAGACGCATCGTGTGGCTGTCTGGAGGGTCCAAGAGAGGCAGGATGTTTGTCTGCCTTCTCGTCCAGTCCATCCCTCTGCCTGTGAGTTTCCCCTGCCATTTCCCAGAAGAACTTCGACATGAGCCCAGTGTGCCCTTGTCACTGTGATTTCTGGGACAAGCCTTTTTTTCCCCACAGAACAGGATTTTTCCATTATCTATTGTATTAGGACACTATAGGCCGTGGCATGATAGGAAACAAACCCCCAGATCTCAGAGGCTTCCCACACAGCGTTTTATTTCTCACTTACTGAAATTCTGCCGAGGGTCCAGCTGCCCTCCAGGGAAGCTCCTTTCCAAAGTGGGGCAAAGGTCCAGTCGGATTCCATTCTGTGGCCCCACCATCTCAACCCCATCCAGGTGGGCCTGACAGGGGCAGAGAGAGCTGGAGGGTCACACTCTGGGTCTTACATGCCTTGGCCCAGAAGTGTCACTGCACTCGTAGCCCATTGGATAGAACTAATCATGTGACCCCATCCAGCCATGAGGCAGATGGGTGAGCAGCAGCGTCTGTGCTGTATCTTCCTCCTTCCTTCACTCGCTCACTTCACTGATCTTCATGGGCGAGTGCTTTGCACCAGCCTTTTAGAGAGAGAGAGAATTGCATGAGATGCAGTTACCCAGGAGAGGCACAGTCTAGAAGAGAAATGAGACGTGTACACAAGATGACAGTACTGCGCAGTTGAAGCTATAAATGTCTGAGCAAACACTGGTGCCTTGCCCGGGTCACGGTCCTTGTAGGGTGTAGTCTGGGGCCTCTCCCTGCATACTCCACCTGCCTCCCCACTGCTGCTGCAGTCGGGCTTGAGTGAATGGCTGAGTAAGGAGCAGAGGGCCCCAGTGGCCCCCAGACTTAATACCCATTCTAGATCTCTGAGGAGCTCTAGCTTCTCTCTCACTGTGACTTATCAGACACACATGGGGCACATGTCACAGCGAGTGGTCTTAGGTGGGAGTGCCTCAGTGAGAGGTCAGATGCTGACACCTGGGTGCCTGTCCAATCGCCCCTCCAGCTGAAGCTGAGGACCCTGTGATCCCCCGATCGTATTTCCACAGTAGACAATGAATCCAGGGGGTGAGGCTCAGCACAGTGCTGTCCCTCAGGGACCCCATCCCTAGGGCCACCCAAGGACCTGGGGCAGCAGGGTAGACAGTAGGTGCCCACATCTGCCAGGCGCAGTTCTTCACCCATAAAAGGCATTTAGTTGGTCAGTAAAGGCTGATGCTGGTGATGTTCTCTGCCTCCCCCTAGTGTGGCTGAGGGAAAAAAGCAGGTGAGCTGGGGTGGGTGACAGCCAGCAGCCAGATTCTAGCGTCCACAAACACTTGGCAGCCTTGGGTGAGCCAAGGCTAGTAGCATTGCTCCCCGAGAGCTCTGACCAGGGGAGGGCAGCTGGAGGCTCTGAGCATGGTGACATTCCAGGGGACATCAGTCATGGTTCCAGGTGGTGAAGCCATAGGGCAGGGCAGAAGCTGACATCCGTACAGCTGGGCTTAGAATGGAGTCCTGGGGGTGCCCCCTGCATTTTTGGCATCTCTGTTGTGAACTGCATAAGGATGTAAGGGGGTTGGCTAGCCTACCGTGTTGGCAGTGATGTGGACATTCCAGCCCCCATCCTTTGTAATCCTGCTCCGAGTGTGGCTGGTGCAGAAACCGTCAGACAGACGGCTGCACTGTGGTGTGCTCCCACTAGAGGGCAGCAGTGCACCACTCTGGAAGCGCCCCAGGCTGGCGCTTTGCAATGAGAAGTGCCTTGTTCCCAGGAGCCAAAAATGTCCTCACTGATGCTCAACATTGTCCCCAAAATGACCCAGGCCAATGCTCAGGCCCTTCCTCCCCAGAACAAGGGAGAGGATGAGGCAGTGAAGGAGGCAGCCACAGAGAGGCGTAGGGATGCACCTGTTTGGCCAAAATGTCCCCTACTGTGCAGAGGGCTGACATTCCTCTAGGGAGTCTGTCCCCCCCCCCACACACACACACACACACCGCCCTCAGACCCCTGGGAACATGTGGCACTCCCTTTAAGCCTCTGTCAGCTGCACAGGCAAGGGATGTGCTTGCTCACGGAGTGAGGGGTGCTGGTGGCATTCCCCACACCAGACGGCTTCACCTGGGCCTGCGGGGGAGGCAGCCGCTGGTGTGGGGGGGGGGGGGTCACAGAGTACTGCCTTCTGCCCTTGAAAGGACAGGCACTGGCAGGTGCTGAGGGGGAAAGATGGAGTTCGTGTATCCAAACCAGGTTAAACTTGACAGTTCAATGTGAAGGCACGGGAATCGAATCTGAATAGGTTCTGGCATCTCCTCGCACATCCCTGGCCCAAGACTGACTGCCCTGACACCCCCCACACCCCCCACCCCCTGCCCCGAGACTCCTTCCCCTGAGGCGTGATAATTTGAGGAGCAATTTCTCCCCAGGTTACCAGAGCGCAGGGGGCCACACGGCCTCAGGGCCCTGTTGAAATACTGCCTCCCTGTTTCACACGTGGCCCCGGATGCTTCTGTGTCCTATACACGACCCCAGTTGAAAGACCTCGTTGTTGAATTATCCTGTGTCTTGCCCAAGGCTTTCTAGAAGAACATACTTTGATCACTCTTCTTTGAATTCTCTGTCAGACGAACGTTATGTCTGCTGTCTTTTGTCGGACAATAGGAACTGCATAACCCAACTTATTTCCCTTTTTGCCTTCCTGTTAGGAAATTTCGAAACTCACTCCTGTGTCCGTCTGCGGTGAATTATGGGCTCACTCTGACCTGGTCGGTCCTTGGCTCTGACCTTCTGGTGACCGACCCCGTTGAGTGGTTTACGGTGCGTGAGCCCACCGTTGTGGGGTCGGCACAGCCTCCACACTGAACAAGGGGCATCACTGAGTCAGGTGGGATTTCTGGCCTCATGGAAGTGCCCAGGGCCCTCCATATGGAGGGACCCAGAAGACTCATGGAAGGTAAAGTAGGATTTTTGCCCTCATGAGAGTCTGTCCAAGGCACTGTGTTCACATAGGACCCAGAGAGAGGACAGGAGACCCACTAAAGGACGGGACAGTGAGACTTGGGATTAAGCACCCCATTCCCCTGCTTGGCCCCGAATAAGGACAGAGTGAGAAACCCCCCTCCCTTCAAGGAACCTGAGGGACAAATGAACTTTCAGAGTGAAAGTGATGACCAGCTTTCCCCTCTTCCCCTGAGTCGCTTGGAAGAATAAAAATGGCGGCAGACGCAGGACAGCCTTGTTCCTCCAGCAGGTGGCGCCGTTGCTGCTTGGAAACGGGTTGTGGGAAGGGGCCGCCCCACGCTGGATTGAAGCTGCTGTAGCCCAGTTCCCAGCCTCCCAAATGGGAAGGAGCGACTTTATCGCTCCCTAGAGCTATGCCAGCTCTGTTGCCAAGTCTTCTGGAAACTTCCAGGATTTGCTAACTCTCAGGCATAGGGATTATTAAAATGTGCCGAGATGCCGAGGAACAGAGTCACATGAAAACCAAGCCCCACCTCGCACCCCCAGGCCTGTCCTCTTCCCCAAGTGCTGCTTCATGTCACTTCTTGGTCCCATGGGAGGTACAGTCTGACTTCATTCATTGAATCCACCAGTCTTGATGGAGCACCTTTCGGTGGCCCAGGCGTTTTCTTAGCCACGATGGACAGGGTTAAAATGCAGGGTCTGTCGCCTTTCCAGTGCACCGGGACATGGAATTCTAACGTCCCCTTAACGAGCATCCAGCAGTGACTGTATCACACCTACAGTAACACTGCAAACATCTCTGAGTGCTCTCCTTGCTCCAGGGAACTGCAATGTGCCTTCTCATCGTCCCTGTGGAGCGCATGCTGTTACGAATATCCTTTTACAGACGAGGTGGTCCCTGGGCAGCTGTCACCTTCTCAGTGAGGCCTCCTGAACGCCCTACCCCACGCTCTCCACCCTCCCCTCACTTTATTCTTCTCCCTAGCCCTCCTCACTTATATGCCTTATTCCTGTGGTCTGCATTCTCCCCCTGGAATGTAAGTTCCCCATGGGCACATCCGGGTGCTCATTAAATATTGGACGAATGACTGAACGAGCCCTGTCATGCTCCTGTCCCCAAGGGACCCACCCCCAGCACCCCAGTCTAGAACCTGTGCCTCCTTCACAGGGCTCACATGGATTGAACACTCTGAGCTTTATGTCTGCGACATCAGAATTCACATAACTATCCTTATTATTATTATTGTCATTTGTCATTTTACAGACAAGAGAACTGAGATCAAATCCCTTGCTCCAAATCACGCGGCTCACAAACAGGCGAGTGGGGATTGGAATTCAGGCAGCCTGACTCCTCCGGGACCCCTTTGTGAGGGGTGACGATGGGGAGGAAGACCATTTTCTAACTCTCGGTGACTGTAGTCACGTACAACGAGTGAGGGGTGAATGTCATTTCCTTTAATAAGCAAGAACAAGAAAATAGATATCTTTTTTTTTTTCCTCTACTGCTGGAGGCACTAAAAATGGAAAGAGAGAAAAGAGAGAGAGAGAGGGCTGCCCCTACTGACACCTCTGAAAGAGGAAAAGATACGATTTTTACTTCTTTTTAATCGGAAAGGTTTCCAGTGGCCTTCCCCAGTCCCTGCTGGTGCGGGATCCTGTGTCAGCCTTCAAGGAGGAGAGCGTACCTAGGACAGCCCCTCGGCCTCTCGGGCCGCCTCCCCTGCCTCCCCCAGTGCTTCCTCCCTCAGGACAAAAATAGGCGCCCATACAATGAAGGAGACCAGGAGTCCTTCAATCCGTGGTTTCCTGTCTGAGGCCGCCAGGTAGCAAGGCCCGTAGGGAGTGGGTAACGTGCTCTGTGAGGCAAGCCCATTTTTATTTTTGTTGCTTATGAGTCTTTTTTTCAAGAAATTATTATTTTGGGGGTGAAGACTTTTACTGGTGACAAACATTAAGGAGCAGGTGACTGGTGGAGTCTGGCCCGGGTCCTCCTACAGCCTCCAGGGCCGAGCACATTGCAGGGAGCCAGAACTGCAGGCACCTGGTGGTTTGTGGCTCTGGGGGGCCCAGGAAGCATCTGCCTCCTTATGTGCCAGCGTCCATTATCCAGAACATGACTAGGGTCTTAGATGGGGATTGGCAGACTGTGGTCCACAGACCAAATCCGGCCCCCCAGCCTGTTTCTGCAAATAAAGTTTTATTGGTACCCAGCCCTGTCTACTCGTTTGCCCACAGTCCGTGGCTGCATTTGTGCTACAAGGCAGAGCTGAATAGTTGTGACGTGGACCCTCCCGCCTGCAAAGCCTAAAATATTTATTATCTGGCCCTTTGCAGAAACGTTTTCCAAACACTGATCTAGAATATAAACAGAAAAAAAGCCCTGAGAGTTAAAACAGGTGGCGAAAATCCTGAGGTTCGTTCACCCTGGCCATCGGAGAGCGCTTCGGTTCCCACCCAGAACATCGTGCAGTTTGTCCAAATTCATTCTCTTTCAGCTTCCGTTTCTTTGACTGGTCCACCTGTTTGACTTACTCTGCAAGGCTGTGCTGAGGGTCATCATAGAGTGACAGTTGTTTGTAAACTGAAAAACACTCTGCAGACATGAAGTGGCCTTACTAAGTGGCCCCGTTACTAGTCGAGGCGAGCACAGAACCGGTGACTTGACAGAGGAGAGACGTGCATGGGAGCTGTGGCAGGGAAGTGGGGGCTGGAGAGTCTGTTGAGTTTCCCAGCTCCTCCTGAGGCTGAGATCTGAAAGAGTAACCATCCACCTGCCTGGACCTTAGACAGAGGTGTGCTGCCTCCCCAGCTGTGTCTGGAGCCTTCTTCGTCCACCCCATTCCTCCTACCTCTCCCTCGCCCAGATTTTCCCCCTCTTTCGTGGCCCTCTTCCTAGTTTATCTCCTCCGGGAAACTGTCCTAGACGAATCAGACCACCCATCCTCAGAGACTTCATGGATGTTTGGAGGACCTGATTCTAGGCCAATCTTGAGATTCTCTGGCTGTTTCCTGCCTCTCCATGTGTTTGTGCTTCCTAAAGGAGGCTGACCTCGAACCCCACCTTGAGCAAGGATCTACAGAGAGAAAAGAGAAGGTGGGCATGGAGGGTTTCGGAAGTCAGTGAGCAGTGGTTCAGAAGAAATGGAGGCCGTGGAGAATGAGGGGTCCAGGAGTCTAGAAGGGACATCTCCATATGCAGAGAGCGGTTGGTCCAGGTCCTTGAGGCCTTGGGACTTGACCAAATAGGGACTCAACGGAATGTCCTTGAGCAGAGAAATGCCTCATGGAAGGACTAGGGCCTGACCAATCCTTATGCCTTCCTCCAGGGACCCTCTAGGGAATTCCTAGCAATGTACACATCTTCCCACAATGGCCAGGGAAGGAAGTTTCACTTTGTTAGGGACAAGTCAGGGTCCCTTAAAAACAAGACTTGCCCCCGGTAGAGAGGTCATCTGATCCATGCCCTACTTTGGGCCAGATCCTACCCAGAATCCTTTGCTTCATGCCAGAGGGCTTGATCAATGGGTGGGAGGGAACACTTGGGGGTAGGAGGAGAAGCAGGCCCAAGCGAGACCAGACTGAGGACTGCCTCTGCCATGGCCCCGGCTGGGCCAAGGGCATCTCCCAGAGAACAAGAGCTGCCTGCCCAGCTCTGCTTGGGAATGGCTTGGGCTTGGGGATGGGAGGCCAGCAGAGGCACCCAGTGCTGTGAGCAGGCCCTAAGCTGGCCGACGGGGCCTCCGTAGGGATGCACAGAGGCAGGTCCACCCTCCTGCACACACTCACCCCCCAGTGATGCAACAGTCCTGCCAGGAGAGGCCCCGAAGCACAAGATGAGTGGGGTCACCTCACCTGCAGCCCCACCGTCCATTCCTAGAGCACTTTCCAGGGCTGGTTTAACACCCTGGTCATCTTGGTGATGTCCCGGCTGACTTGGGCCGGCCCTAGTTATACAAGGCTACATCATGGTCCAGCACCTTTCCTCCTTTGTCCTTGGCCGGTAGAAGGAGCAGCTTAGGCTGGGGGAAGAGGAAGGTGTTGCTGAGGGTGTGAAGCATCCATTATTCCTTTATTAGCCAGTGTGCCATTTCTGGTCGCGTTCTCCTTCCTGGCGGCGGTGAGCTTGGGGGCGGAGAAGCCCGGTTATTTTCGTTCCCCCAGCTTCTGA